CCTGCAGAATGACCTCCAGCAGGCCACTAATATACATGTTTCTGCTCAAACTGTCAGAAACAGACTCCATGAGGGTGGTATGAGGGCCTGACATCCACAAGTGGGGCTTGTGCTTACAGCCCAGCACCATGCAGGAAGATTGGCATTTGCCAGAGAACACCAAGATTGGCAGATTGGCCATTGGTGCCCTGTGCTCCTCACGGATGAGAGCAGGTTCACACTGAGCGCATGTGACAGACGTGACCCAGTCTGGAGAGGCTGTGGAGAATGTTCTGCTGCCTGCAGCATCTTCCAGCATGCCCGGTTTGGCGGTGGGTCAGTAACGGTGTGGGGAGGCATTTCTTTGGAGGGCCGCACAGCTCTCCATGAGGTAGCCAGAGGTAGCATGAGGTACCCTGACTGCCATTAGGTACCGGGATGAGATCCTCAGACCCACTGTGAGACCATATGCTGGTGCAGTGGGCCCTGGGTTCCTTCTGATGCATGACAATGCTGGGCCTCATGTGGCTGAAGTGTGTCAGCAGTTCCAAATGATGAAGGCATTGATGCTATGGACTGGCCAGCCCGTTCCCCAGACCTGAATCCAATTGAGCACATCGGGGACATCATGTCTCGTTGCACCACAGACTGTCCAGGAGTTGATGATGCTTTCTTCCAGGTCTGGGAGGAGATCCCTCAGGAGAACATCCGCCGCCTCATCAGGAGCCTGCTCAGGCGTTGTAGGGAGGTCAGACAGGCACATGGAGGCCACACACACACACTGCTGAGCCTCATTTTCACTTGTCTTGAGGAATTTCCACTGAAGTTGGATCAGCCTGTAATGTGATTTTCCACTTTTATTTTGAGTATGATTCCAAATCCTGACCTCCATGGAATAATTTTGATTTACATTGATCATTCTTATGTTTTGTTCTCAACGCATTCCACTATGTAATGAATAAAGATTTTCAACTGGAAGATTTCATTCATTGAGATCTAGGATGTGTTATTTTAGCGTTCCCATTATTTTTTGGAGCAGTGTCTGGGCTGTGACCCTCGGAAGTTCCTGACCTCTAGATTAGAAACCGCTGGACTTAACTGTGTTACTACAAAATACAACCTAAATGAGCTCAACCTCAAGCTACTGGGGCTAAACAATATATATATTTTTAAATCATAATGTGATTACTGATTAATGTGATTATTGAAATATGAGTCCATATTTTTTGTGAGAATGGCAATTTAATGGTAATTAATCAAATTATTTTCCATTGAAAAAAAAAACAAACATAGTGATGTGATGTTTGCTGCAGTCTGTGCCAAACAAGCAAGTTGTTTTATATCTGGAGATCATGATTTATAGGCCGGGGCATCTCTGTAGCACCACGATGCTGTGTTTGTAATGAATTTTTGTAACGCATTTTTCCTGCATCGAACAGTTAACAGATATAATCTCACACTTGGCCATATTGGAACTTTGATTAATTTCGTTTTTCACCCCTACAAGTTACTAAACAGTACAAAGCTGCTGACACGGTGTTCTATAACATGAAAAGTGCCATTAATTTGCTTAAACTACATTTTGCTGATAATACTTTTGTAGGCAACTTTTGCTTTAATAGGAGTAAAATTCAGGAGTTATTGTTGGTGCTGTTGTTGTTAAACTTTGCTCTTAGTGCAAATCTGCCTTAACCCTACCACAGTACATCAGCTTCCCCTCATTGCTGAAGCTTTAGTCAAGCTCACATATTTACAGTGACTTGTTTACTCAGTTTCTTTGATTCGTTTCTCAACTTCTTCACTTCGCTCCAGATACGACTCCGCACCTTGTTCAGGACACATCAGTGAAAAACACTTTGTTCAGTTCGGGTCAAAGATTTCTGATTACTGAAGCAGGCGTAAGTGAACGCATCGCCGTTCCAAGGGATTCCCATTCATCCCAAAGTAAGTGAACGCCTCTCCAGTCAGTTAGCATGGTGACTAGTTCAAGCTGCTGCGTTTATTTCAGAGCAGAAGAACGAACACATGGAGCTGAGTTTACCTGGTTATCGAGAGGCAACAAAAGACAGTAGGCGTTTACGTGAGGTTATCCGGTCCTTAGCTGATGAAGCAACAATGTAAGTAGTAAAGCTAGCATAGCATGGAACCGGACAAAAATACCTCCGGCGTAATAGTCGAATTACAAAACAAAGGTTCCGCCTCAACGTTTGAGGTCTTTTTTTTATCTATAAAGTTATCTACAAAATCAAATAATGCTTAAATCTGCTCGTATTTACACAATCTGAATGTAAATTTCATGGAGGCAACAGGTTTGTTTAAATTTTTATCTGTCGGAAAATAAATACTACCAAAATATAAAATGAACAATGTGAACCTGCATGTTCCGAGGTTTATAACATACTTTGCACTTTTAATTCCAAGTTTTTTTTCCCTTACATAATTGTAGCCACTTTAATACCTGCTTCATGTAGCATATAACACTCCTACGATGTCAAACAAACAAACAAACAAACACCATGCCTTGCTGTTTTGTGTTGCACTACTTCATTTCCTGCTTTGATTACTGTATGCAGGTTCTTCAACACTGTAAAATGTAATGTCCAAATAAATTATGTAAAATGGTGATACATTATTATATATGAAGCTAATGACCATTTATAAAGGAGTTAAATGAATCAAACATCTTAGTCTGTCTTCCACCATTGCTGCCTTGCAGTTTAGTAACACATTCAACTGCTCAGACGTTATATATATGCAAGGCTTGACTGGAAACTTAATGATAAAATTGAAGGGGAAATCATGGTTGCATAACTTAAAAAGGAATATTTGATAGTAATCTATAAGAATATTGGCTATTTTAATAGTTTCAGTAGTAGCCTGTAGTTCAGATAGCTTCCCAGGTGATGTGAAGCATCTTTACGTTCATCATTTCAAACTTGTTTTTGTTTCCGACTATAAAGATGTGTATTGAAGACTCCTGTACTGCACACTGATGTCATTTAAAAAAAAAAAAAAAAAGCTTCAGACCCAACAAAGATCACATGAAGTCTGTGTCCTTTATTAACCCTAATTAGGTCCTGTTGGTTGCTGGTTTGTGTGATAGATTATTTAGCATCATTTGATTCCAATATAATTCCACTACTATATACCACAAACAAAACATTTGTCAATACAGCAAAACTACAGGACAAAGACAGTATTCTTCTGTGCTTATAATACCATAATTAGTGTTAAGTAAAAAGGATGGTAAACTATGACTTACTATGAATTTCTGCTGCTATACTTAAAACACCATCACATCAAACTACTTGATATAGTGTGCTGAGAAAACTCAGTTCAACAATGTATTGTTTGACCTCCTGGTTGCGATCACTGTGAAATATTAGTAAAAGATTTTTCTGGAAAAAAAAAAAAAAACTCAAATCATTTCCCCTTTTGTCAACAACAGCACCATCTTGTGTTGCATTTCTATTCCTGTTCACAGACTTTTCTCACAGCCCTGCTGCTTGCTGGGAGTCATCCTGCTCACATCGATGTTGTTTTTGGCAAAGATCTCCATGGCTTTCTGGATGGTGGAGTCCGGCAGGGTCCGTGTTCGGCCCAGGATCCAGGCAAAGTCAACATGGAAGAGCCTCAGGATGTCGGTGCAAGAGTACACAAGGGCTGAGTTCACGTAGTCAGTGGACAGGATCCAGTAGGGGGAGAAGGGAAGGACTGCAGTGAGCACAGGAAGACATAAGGTGTAAAAGTCAAGAAGCAGAAAACAAGAACAAAAGTATATCAGTAAGTATGTTTTCTTGAGCTGCACACCAGAATAGACGATCATCTGCGTAATATGTGTCAGGTAAACATACCAGCTGGTTCCCAAAACAAGACGCAACAGTGTCTCAAGTGTATTAAATGTTGTTTTCCTCACCGTAGGAATAACTTATTCCCAGCTTGGCTGGATTCTTCAGATCCTCTATAACACCAGTCCCTTCAATTTTCCTCAGTTCTCCTTTTCTGTTTTATTCCACACAGACAAATTCATCTTGGGTTAAAGAGAATGCTAACCATGCAAATATTACCTTCTGACTCCATATTTGCACAAATGAATTGTGCATAGGACTCACAGTATTTCAGAGCTGACCACTCGAATAGAGCTGTCTGTCTTCAAAGTAAAATTGGTTTCAATGCATCGGCCCTTCTCAAACTGGGCTGGCAGTTTGGCAATTTCAAACCATCTCCCCATGAACTGTGAGGGCAAAAACACACAAGAGTTCAAAGACAATTTAGTGCAATGTGAGCAGAGACTATGAATAAATCTACATACTTTACTGGATTCTGTAAAATGTATGGGAGGTGTCCTATCAAACCTTTTCTGTAGCACCGGTGGGAAGTAATTAAGCACAAAGTACAGTGTTTAATTTCCCCTCAGGGGAAATAAAGTGTATCTGATCTTATTTACTCAAGTATGTTCTTGCATTTTGACCTACTTATACTTCATTTATGTATTTCTATATAAAGCTACTTTATCCATCTACAACGTTACATTTATTAAAGAGGTTTCTTTTCCAGTTACTTTGTGGGTTCTGTCAGTATAAACTATCTACCAACAAATAAAACAATTATATGTATACAGTGATAATAATGATTCATTAACACTTTAACCCTGTCCTCTTAAGAGTTTACAAACGTAAAATAAACATTTCATGAACTGATTGTAACCCGCTACAGATTATAGGTATGTGTGTAAAGCTTCTGATCACATTTAGTAAAATAAAGTCTCCAATGAAAACACATTTTATCTTATTACATTTACTTTGTCTGTTAATACACCAGCCTGCATTTATTTCTTCCACAGAAAAAGACATAAATTCCTAAACATTCTCATCTGTTACACCTAAATTGTGGACGTTTAGATGACGTATATCTAATCATATATATTTATATATATAATATTATTATATATGATATATTATAATGCAGCATTTATGGGTCATTCTTTCCAGATAATTGTAATTTCATTGTAATACTTGAACTTTAGTTGAGTTAAGGATGTGAATACTTGCTTCCACCACTGGTCTTTGTCTTATTCTAAGGTCATCATTAAATTACTTTTAGATAAAACCAGTCAAAAAAAAAAAGATAATTTCATAAAAAAGCCATTATTAACAGCTACTTCATTTTCAAAAAGAACCTCTTAAAGCAAAGTACTTTGTATGTTTTAAATGCATTAAAAAGTCTGATTAAATAGAAACGAATAGAAACTTAGGAGCTTGCTATAAATCAGTCACTTGAAGCAGTGATTTGTAGTCTAAATGTTTCATTTTTAAAATATTGCACGGAGAGAAGAAGGGCATTGTATTGTTCCCCTGCAGTTTATCAATAAATTCTGCACAAACTAATCTATCACTGGTACCTGTTTCAGGTTGAAGGCAGGTTGAACAGCTGGGTCTGGACACGGACCCCAGTGGGGGACCTGAGCCCTGATGACGGGGAGGATGAATACAAAAACCAGAGCCAAAGATAACTTCATGGTAAAAATGGCTCGTTGTTAACTGCAGAAGGTAAGACAATAAAAATAACACAGATCTGACAAATCTGAAGCGCAAGAATAAAGTACAGATGACTGCTGAAGGGCAAGACAAAGATTTTGCCACATGAGACAAGCTTTATAACTTTTTACCAAAATAGTTACTCAAGAATAAAACAGCATTGTTTTACACAAATAAATACTTTACCACACCAAAATGTTCATTTATATACGTCTCCAGATATTTTCTCTTACCTCTGGGTCCTTGTTGCTCAGATATACGTTGTCTCTTTCCAGACTCTGGTATTTGAACTGAAGACGTAGCTCTTTGTGAGGTTTTGCAATTCCGTGGCTCTGTGTCATCAATGGGCATCTTTGTGTCTCAGCGTTATTTCCAACATAAAGTAAGCAATTAGCAAATTGGAGTCATGGGGGACACACCGGTAGAAAGTTATAAAACAATCTGGATGTTCTCCTGTTCTAGATGGGCAGGAATGTGATTTTTGTTGTTTTTTTTAACTGGAGGATTTGTTTAACTGGTTTGCAAGTTGTGAAGCTGCATGTTATCTTTATAGACACAACCAGCAAATTAAAAGCTTTTTCAAACTGAAGGAAAATAGCTGATGCACAACAGCTCTTTATACTCAGTCCTGGTTATTCAAAGGACACAAGACAATAAACAAGATAATTGGATTTGATCTGATTTAATGCGATCCAGTAATATTTTATCATCGCATCACAGCAGCTTACTGGACACGTGATGGGTCAGGACGATGACCTTTGCTGCTCCTAAGATGACACTAGAAATCAGCTGATCCACCACTTTAGCCCAAAAACGCTGAAATATATCAACTACTACTGGATGAATCACAGTGATGTTGTGTATAAAGGCTGGCGGTCTCCAGAGGTTGAATCTAAAGGTCAACAAATGTTTCAACAAATAACAGATAGATTCAAAAGAAAGTCTTACACATATTTGTGTTTTCCTCAGGAAGAACTGAAACCACTTTGCTGACCTTCTGTTTCCTATAGTGCCACCAGATGGTTGGCATTTCAGAGTGAAATCATCATCAGATCAGGCAAGAACTGTTTACTTGTGAACTTGAACTGTTCTTTATGTTTCAACAACAACAAAAAAGAGGTTCAGAATATGAAAAATTGGAACTACAAAATAGAATGACCTGAATCACTGACATCTTCAGGAGGTTTATCTTATGTAAAAGAGAAAAAGTCTGTGAATAAAAACATTTCACATCCAATTTGTATGGCATGTACTCATCTATGTTTGCTCAATATCCATAACTGAATAGTGTAACTCTTTTGCACTAGATATTGGCAATAAGCTGCTAAAAGCTTGCAGGTAAACAATGTGAGATGCACCATCTTGATTGGTTTTCTCTCATTTACATTTGCTTCCAAGATGTGGATGTGTGCTGTATGATTGGGGCATTACACTGCCTTCCTCCTACACTGAATAAAAGAAGGTTAAAAAAGTCAGTTTCATCAGTGCTGGTTAGTCTAGGTGCATTGTTTCCCCTCCTGTGTGTTTATTACACATTGCTCTTATTATTCTTTGCCCACATCTTATATTTTAACTCTAGTATGTCATTTTTTCTGAGATGCTGCTCACTGTTGCTTTCTGCTGGTTTGAAGTCCTTCTGACTGACTCATCAGTTCTGTTGCAGCAGCTTGGAACAGACTGTAGAAGTTAGAGGTTAGTTTTCACGCAGCAAGTGTTGATAAGTCAGACGCTGATATCTGGAGAGGGACGGACTGTTGAGTTCAATGTGCAAACATTTCGAATTAGCTCTGATTTTTTTTCTAAGTTTTGAGGTTGAGTGCTTGAAATATGTACTCTTCATACTTTCATGTTAAATTAGTGCAGAGAACTTAGCTGGAATAAATCAGTGGATAAGAGGCAGCGATTTGAAAATATAGAAACAGTTCCCCGAAATGAGAAGAATGAAAAGAATCTACCAGTGTTCCAGTTGATCTGCTACTCATATTGTCTGGTTATTTTTGTTTAAACATTCCACTTCTTGCACTCCAGATGTTGTCATTTGCAGATGATCACAAATAGCAGGTCTTTCTGTGTGTCTGTGGAGTGTGATGAGATGCTGGAGACTTCACCAAAGAACCTGAACAGGCCAGTTAACTACCAGGATTTGAAACGATGTGTCTCAGTTAATTACATACATCTCTATCATATTTACTGTTTTGATGTTGCATGTTTTCTAATTAGCTGCAGGGTGGCGCAGTTGATAGCACTGTTGCCTCGCAGCAAGAAGGTCGCCAGTTCGCGTCCCGGTGGGGGCGTGGAGTTTGCATGTTCTCCCCGTGCAGCGTGGGTTCTCTCCAGGTTCTCCGACTTCCTCCCACACAGTCCAAAAACATGTTGAGGTTAACTGGTGATTCTAAATTGTCCGTAGGTGTGAATGTGAGTGTGCTTGGTTGTCTGTCTCTAAGTGTGGCCTTGCTTTGTGATTATCACTGCACCACAATACAAGAATTACACACATGTTCAAAAACACTGTTATTGTTGTTCATTTTTTTGTGATTCTTCTAAAATGATTCATTACATGCTCATGCTGGTAAAGTAAATAATTTAGTGCATTTTCAGCAGGTGCTGAACCACTGCCACCCTAATCAATTCATCTTGAAATACGTGATCATCCATTTGAAAATGTGTCATTGCTTCAAACAAAAGAAACATTTTTTGTTCAAAAGCAGCAAAAAAAAACACACACACACACACAAAAACAAGTTTTTAAAAGTACAAGTCAGTTCACAGATTACTTTGGCATAAAAATGAAGGAGCCGCCGTATGTTTATCATTAGCGTCTCAGTCTATAGCCTGGCATTGAAATATCTGAAATGTCGTGTTACTGTTAAAACACTCGAAACGTCCTAAACCAAACACTGTCATTTACAAAGATTGTTTAATGCTGTCTTCTTCCAGACAATGTCCCCTGGCTGCAAACAAGTTTAAATTAAAGAAGAAAAAGATCAAAAGGCTCAATTTCCAGCTAATACACTTCAGAGAGGAATGACTTGTTAGCTGCACCGGGACACATCAAAGCAGGTTCAAGCAGCGGCGCCGGGTTTTTCCCTGGATGGAGGCAATGAGCTCGACTGGTCAGATGATCAAGGAGAGAAGCAGCCACACTGGCAAACTTGTCATATAACACAGAGAGAAAATATCAAAAGAGAAAGAAACATTAAAGATGTAGGATGTAAAGACTGTGAAGGAGCATTTCTGAGAAGAATTTGGCTTGTCCTTGTTTTGATCCCATGCATGTGAGTTATAGTTTTTGTTCTGATAATTGGGTCAGTCTCTATCATTTCAGATGGTGTTTCTCCACTGTCTCAGATTTTGTTCAGAATATATTTGTTTGGTATCTGGAACACAAACCTAACTTGAGCAAAACATACTGGCTTTAATGTTTTCAGACCAGGGAATTTTAGTATTTTCTATCTCAAAAAAACGTCTTATCTGGGAAGCTATTTTAAGGGTTCGATGGCTCCAGCAGAGGCAAAAAGTTTTAATTATTTAAGTGTATGAATGACATTTTGGCAAGTCCACATATTCACCACAAATCCAATTCTACTAGTGTTAGAGGCCTTCTAAGTTGGTGAAATGTTGAGCAAAGACTGCATTTTTAGTAGGAAATATGGATGCATCCATACAAGGTGTGTCAGAAAAGTTTCAGGACTGGTGTCAAAAAAAATGTATTTCAAATCCAAACTACAAACTATAAGTTTTCTCCTTCGAGGTAATCCCCCTGGAGTCTAACGTACTTTCCCAGCCTTCTCTGCCTTCTCATACACTCCTGGAAGGATTCTTCCAGGATCCTCTGCAGCTCCGTTGTCACAGCCATCTTGATGTCGTCCATGTCTTCAAAACGGGTCCCCTTGATGACCCCCTTGAGCTTGGGGAAGAGGAAAGAATCCCACGAAGCCAGGTCTGGTGAGTAGGGAGGTTGCTCCAGCACGGTGATGTTCTTCTCAGCCAGGAACTGTTGGATGCTCAGGGCATTTTGAGCAGGCGCGTTGTCATGGTGAAGCAACCACGACTTGTCCTGCCACAACTCTCACCTCTTCTTGCACACTGAACGAAGCAAACGTCGTAGGATCTCTTTGTAGACATGCTGGTTGATCATGTGAAGGGGAAAACTGGTAGTTTGTAGTTTGGGTTTGAAATATATCTTTTGTGACACCAGTCTTGGAACTTATCTGACACACCTCGTATACATACACTAACAGGAACTTTGTGGGGCCCCAGTGCCACCCTAATTTGAAAATGTTGCACTTCTTTCCATTTTTTGTCAGCTGGAGCTATTCAGTCATCTGGATCTACTTGAAACACAGTTGGCTGTGTCCTCACCAAATTTCATGACTGTGGGAGTTTGTATATGGAGATATTGGACCCTTAAAATGACTTCCCAAATAAGATGTTTTTATGTTTTTGTTTTTTTTTTAATTGTCAAATACAGAACATTACAAGGTAGGCAAACGTGAAATTCTAAAAATGTTATATATAACTTAGTTATGGGTCCCAAAAAAAAAAACCTAATTAAACACTGAACAAAATCTTAGACTGTGGAGAATCACTGCGACCTGAAGTGACACAGACTGACCTGATCTTCAGGCCATACAGAACAAAAGCTATGATTCACATGTACACCATCAAAACAAGTACAGCATATTTCCAGAATTCTGGAAATATGACTGACACAAGTCTTAATCCCGTTGCTTTCAGAGTTCAGTAAACAGCGAGTTGGCACTGTGGTGTTTATGTAGTGAAGTCTAAGTGTCTGTAGATGGCACTCTGTTCTCTGACCTTTCAGCTGTGACTGACAATCCATTGACTAACTACACGTTTATACACTTTAAACAACCACTCGTGGTACACATTGTACTGTCTGTAGATGCATCCACCTACCCTACTTGTACTGAATTGTTTGGGTTTTTTTAAAGATTTATTTTTGGGCTTTTCCGCCTTTTAAATGACAGTTGAAAGTGAAAGATAGACAGAGAGATGTGGGGAGGAGAGTGGGGGATTGACATGCAGCAAATGAATCGAACCACGGCCGCTGCGTCGGGGATTATAGCCCCTATACGTGGGTCGCCCGCTCTACTCCCTGACCTATCCTTGTACTGAATTCTATGCTACGTTCTACTGTGAATCCACTGTTCACTTTCAGAGAGAAACATACTTTTTACTCCATTGCATTTACTTGATGGCTGTAGTTACTTTTCATTTAGGGCACTTCAGAACTTTAGAAATCTGTTGTGATATAATCAGTTACATGAAATACATTGAATTATTATACAGAGAGTTAAACCACCTGAGTAAAAGCAGCTCAGTAGTAGAGAGTCCATTATGGTAAGGAATACTTTTAGTTTTAAACTTTAACTACAGTTTGTTGATGATACTTACATACTTTGACTTATGTCAGATTTGAAATGAAGGACTTTTAATTGCTTACTTTACTTCCAGAGTTGCAGTTTGATTCAAACCAATTTCAGATGCATGGCATTAATTCCTGCTGCTATCAGTCTGCTATGATGATTAATGTATAGTGCACATTGTATTGAGTTAGCAGGTCATGTGGATTTGCTATTATTAAACCTACTTTAATCGATACATCGGCCACTTGGGGGCAGCAGGGGAACCTTTAAACACAACAGAGTAGGGTGTTAATGTGTAGTCATCTGACCCGTTGGTGATGTGAAATATTGATTAGAGCAGACTTGAGTTGTTACGAGGCATGACTCCAAGCAATGCTTTTAATGTTGCTTTCATAGTTGTGTCTTTTATTTTGAAGGACTGTCTTTTGTTGGTAGTGTACTTATATGGATACAAAAACTATTTCTATTTGAACAATCAATAAAACATGGCTGCAGGTAACCCTTTCTGAGCCATGCTTAATGTTATCTCTAACACCTGTGCTCTTCTCAAAGTGTCTGAGTGAAGCCGTTTTGATTAAAATATCTAAAATATCACACAATAAGCTCCTGAAGTGCACATGTTTTCACCACCCCGAAGAATAACCATTCTCTAAATCTGTCAAACAACTAACACTTCTCACAGTTATGATCAAAAAAATAGTGCAGACTGTTTAAATGTATGGTTGTTTGTAAAAGAGAATCACAAAATAAAGCTTTCCTTTATCAGATAATCTGAATTTGGTGTCTTGATTGACAGTGTTGTGTAAAGACTGACATGCTGCTGCACATGGGGTCACGCTGGAGCTCCTGCAGCTGTGTATACACACACACACACACACACACACACACACACACACACACTGTAGGTTACGCCTTAAAGTGTGCTGTAATGCATATACACAAACTGAGCTTGAGAATATTTCCTGCTGGCTGAGGGCCAACAGAGGTCACTGCTTCATGTGCGACCTTTCACCAAAATGAGTTGACACCTCTCAGAATTCAACCCATGGATGTATCCGAAGAAGTGTTGTTTTGAAGAGGGACAACGTGTCAAAAAGACGGTTTTGTCGCAGAAAAGGACATTTATTGATAGAACTTGTATATTTGGTGACATTCACATTCAGAACAAATTGGAATAGTGTCTGTCTCCAGTAGAGTTTGGTGTTTGGTCAGAGTGTGGATGGAATTATTGCAGGGGTCAAACCCAAGGACCCCAGGGCTATAGCCTGTGTATGAAGTGACTTCAAACTGCTTTTTAACAAGTCACAAAGCTCAGTAAAATTATCAAGTGAATCCTGATGATGACAATGACTGTAAAATAATCCTGTTTACGTTATACTGCTGGTTGAATGCTGATTTATTATAATGATTAAGGATAAAATGCCCGTGTTTTTCCTTCATGTACGATAGATGCAAATGAGGCAGAAAAATGTTTACAAAAGTCTTTTAGTTGACCCTGAAAAGACCTTTACTCTCCTTTTTGACATATACATATATATAAAAATTCATAAGGTCTTCCCCTGACTATGTTCAGTGCTATGAGGTGACATATGTTGTGAATTGTGCTATATGAATTGAATGAATTGAATATATACACATATATGTATACGAGGCTGTACATATAAGGCCACACCTGTTTAAGTTCAGTTAGCTCGATATTACTTTATACATTCATAAGGCAACTAATATGTTATTCATTGTGCATTAACTGGTTAGTGTTATCACCACAGAGAGAGAGAGCTTAGTGTTTGGTTAAGCTGAGACAGTATGTATTGATTTTTTGACAAAGATAGCAATCTTTGTTTTCATGGTTGTAGCCAAACATGCCTGAGAAAGTGTCATATTGGAAGGTCAGAGGTTGTTTGTCAGGTGAAATTCTGCTGTGTCTTGTATGAACTAATCCTCACAGCAACTTGATCCATGGAGGATACTTACAAAGGCTGAATAAAAAACAGTCCAGTCACAGATTATACTTTAACCAAGAGATTTTGAGAGATAAATTACATCTGCCTTGAAATTAAAAAGACAAGGGATTATTGGGTGAAGAAAAGTGCGCTGACATGTTAAGATGAGATCAGATGAGATCAGGGTGTCAAGTGGACAGTTGAGTACGTCAGTCTGAGGAATCAAGTCAATGATATGCTTTTTTTCCTTTGTCATTTTTATTGGGAATCACACAATATTGAATTTAGTAAAAGTAAAGCAGGCTGCTGGCTTTAGTGGTCAGTGTACCGCTATAATCCAGATTTAAATATCTCAACAACTGGTGAATAATACTTTTGCAGGCATTTATGATCCTTGGAGGATTATTCGGGGTTCTTAGTGCCACCACAAAGTTCACATGTGTAGTTTCAAGTAATATCTTGCAACTATTGTTGGATGAAATTTAAACAGTTATTCATCTCCCTTTCTTGAACTGTACCAACCAGTTGTGATCACTCATCGGACACATCTGCCTCGAAATGGTTTAAACTGGGATTTTAAAAACTTCTAAGGAAATAAACACAATTTTCAAGTAGGAAAAAAAACTTGGATTATCGCAAGACAACAGTTTGGGTCTCTAAAATGTTACCAGACCAAGCGCAGGTGAAGACTGTAAATAATACAGTCAACAGTAATAACTTACTGTTGAGTATTCAAGTAAAGACACAGTTGTTTATCACAATTACTGCTGTTTTCAGTGATTCTTCTGCTGCATGTGATGATATTTAAATGTTAAATATTTTTACTGAGCATTTTGTGTCCTGCGGCTCTTTCATTCTGTTTACTACGTCCCTTTTGTTGACACATCAACAAAACCTGCTTCAGGTTCAAGCTACTTCCACTGCATGTCGTTTCCATGGCCCTCAACGCTGTGTGTAGAAGCAGGCCAGGGATTAAACATGAGGCCAGAGGCAGAGAGAGAGCAGCTGTGTGAGTGATGCATGCAGAGAACCAGGAGCACCTGTGCTCAGGTAATCCCTCTGCACACCTGCATGCGCTTTAGTAATCAGTAAGAGGAGATTCTGAAGTCCACAAAAACAGGAAGAGGACTGATGTGTTCACATTATGCTGCAGTATGTCTGAAAATGGAGATGTTGATGAGAACCAGAATGCTTTTATCATTGTTACACACAAAATGTCAGGTTATCTGTCTCTTTAGTGTCGTAGCTGGTCATTTTATCTTTTCAATGTATGTCTTGTCTAACAAAACCACCAAAAAAAAAAAACACACACACAAGCTTATTTGCTCTTTTGGACCTGTAGCCACTAGTTTAGAGATCAAAAAAATCCAGTAGCCTAAATATGATGGTAGCCTGCTGCAGCTTCTCAGCTTCTCTGCTCAGTTTACATAAATATGTACTTATGGTTTGTTTAATGCATTTTTTAAAAAAAACAATTTGTGATTTTAAAGATGTCTATCTAGGGATGCTTTATATTAAATCGCGCTTCATGATGTTTTGAAAGTTGCTTGCTGTAACCTGGATTAAATAAGCATGTTTTGGTGAGCTTTAGAGATATTCTTGTAAGACTTTGTTACCTTGGCTACAGCCAGGCTAGCCATTTCCTGTCTTTTTGCTAAGCTAACCAGTTGCTAGATCTAACATGCTATTTAGCAGCTAGAAATTCTTAGATGTTGCATTTGGTTCCTGCTGGGGCTTTTTTGTAGTAAGCTTTAGAAACACTTTTGTCAGATTTTGGTAGACAGAGCCAACTTAGCTATTCTCCCTCCAGTTCCAGTCTGGTTGCTATGCTAAGCTAACCCGGTGGGGTTTCTTGGCTTCATATTAAGTATATTCATTGTCTTCAGGCCATTATTGTCAGGGACTTTAAGGTACAAAAACACTTTACATATTGGATTTAAGTGTATTCCCATGTAATTTTTTCAGCGAACCCAACATAGCAGTGGAATTAAATTTCAGTTGACGATGGCATAATGTTGTAATCATGTGTCTCATAGTCACACGCTACAAGAAAGCAACTAAATGTCAAACTATTCAATTATCAAAATAACTACTTCAAATGAATATTTAACAATATGGCTTCCAAAGGCGGGTGATTCTGCAAGCATCCCCTCTTTCACAAAATAAATGTGTACAGAAAACATAATTACAATTTGGGGAATGAAAATTTAACTAGTTTCAGAAATGCCAATAAGCAGCTGCTGATTTTAAATTCAAACAAACCTAAGGGGAAACTCTTAAGTCCACAAAATGAAAAATACATTTCTTTAGTTCACAGAATATTCGCCTGCCTGTGTGCAGCTTTGATGCTTCTGCTGGAGCACAGAGGCAGATTGAGATTTTTGTGCTTCCTTTGTGCAACTTTACATCTTGGGTCTGCATATTTTAATTGTACTGTTGATATTTATCTTGCTGTTTTTTTTTAAGCAGGCCATTTTTTTTTTAAAAAGAACTGTTGATGAATGGACTGAGGTTAATGAATGAGATGGAGTACAACAGTGCGATTATGTCACTGAGCTGCCGTTTTTGAGAGGCCTGTTTGATCAGTGTATGTATTTGAACAGGTGCCAACTCTCACACATGCCTTCATCACTCAGAGGAGGGGCTCAGGAATGTGATCAATAATGGAGCTACAGGTGTTTGGATCTTTAAAAGGCCTTCCCAAGCTGACTGTCCTACCACAGGTAGTGCAGCTGATTGCATACAGGTGAGCAGACAGCAGCCACGTCTCCTTCTGTTTGTATCCACACTAAACTCATGAGTAAACTCCTGCTGTCTGTTTGATTCCGTGCAGGTTGAGGTGAGAAGATGAAGGCCATGCAGGTGATTTCTCTGACTCTGCTGCTTGCTGTTGCAGCCAGTGCTCAGGTCTTTAAGCTCGGCAAATGTCCCAAGGTGGCTGTTCAGGCCAACTTCGATGCTACCAGGGTAAATACTAAACATATTTTGCTACTGTTTCTGTCATGAAAATACATACTTGTTTTGCAACAGCTGCTAAATGTTCAGTACCTGATGTGGTTTATTTAGGTTGTGAAATCTTGTGCTTCCTTTGCAGTACATTGGTAAGTGGTATGAGATCATGAAGCTGCCTACAACCTTCCAGAAAGGTGAGTGCGGCACTGCCACCTACAGCCTGAAGAGTCCAGGAGTCCTCGGTGTCTTTAACAGGGAGCTGCTGTGAGTACACACTACCTAAAATAGCAACATTTTAGATCAGAGTTTTTGAATATACTCTTCCTAAGAAAAGAAATATTTTCTACCTACCTACTTTGCTGATTATACTTGTCACAGTCTGTGAAATAACTATTAGTTAAAATAACGACATTTTATTCTCTAAATCAGTGTGCAAATCTACAGCATCATGACAGAAACGCTTTCACACAGGGATGTCGATTTCTCTTGCTCTCTGAAGCTACATTGTGCACATTACTTATCCTTGTACTTAAGGACTATTGAATGTCCTTGGCTAAAACTCCTGCCATGTGAACACACAGGATCACAGACTGATCCTTGGCACTGTTTTTAAATTATGAAAGAAAGGCGCTTTTTGAAAAAGACAGGAGCATACAGAGTACACAGATATTTCAAAAGTTAGATTTTAAGTTAAAAGAAATACATGACTTATTGAATTTCTGCTTCATGTTTTTTTTAATTTTTATTTTAGGAAAGATGGAACCATTAATTCTATCGTCGGCCAGGCCAAAGTTAAGGATCCTGCTGAGCCTGCCAAGCTGGAGGTCTCCTTCTTTAACAGTAAAGAAATTTAAATTATTCCAAATATATTTCAAGATTCAACTTCAGTCAGTTATTATAGATGCTAGTGTGTTCAATATTCCAGCAGCTTTGAGTCTTTAACTCATCTCTCCCTGCAGCCCCTCCTGGTCCCTACTGGGTCCTTTCCACCGACTACGAGGGACACTCTCTGGTCTACGGCTGTACCGACTTCGGCCTGTTCCACATGGAGCTGTCCTGGATCCTGAGCAGGGAGCCCACTCTGTCTAAGGACACCATCGAGGAGCTGCACAGCATCCTGTCCTCTGCAGAAGTCAACGTGCAGAAGATGGTCCCCACCAACCACGATGAGACCTACTGCAGGCCCATGAACCAGTAAAAAGAGATACTGCTGTTTTAGGACTGTGTGACAGGACAGTTTGGAGTAAATGTTGGTGTGCAGTGTTTATGGTGCTCTGTTATGGTGACATGTTGATGGTACAGTGTGCAAAGTCAGTGCAATAAACCTGTTGAAAGAAATGCATGTTGTGGTGTATTTTGTCGTAATGTTTTTCCCTACATACACAAGTCTCCCAGTTGTTTGGTTGGATTTAGATTTCAGTGTTTTCCAGCCTTCCATTTTGCTTTACCACCAATCAATTTTTATTTTTATTTTTTTGATTTACTTACTGCTTAGAATATTTGAAGGGCTACAATCTTTGTTAAAACATTTTTTTAATCTCTCCAATTTTATAAAGTTGGCTATCAATCACACATTTTTTGTACTCTGAATATCACATCGTAGATTATTTATGGAGGAGAAGCAACAATGGGAGGGAGAGATATAATAAATCTGCAACATGCTAACTGTTTAAATATATAAACTAGCTAAACATCAGCCTTCTTTGTCCAGAATTGCAGCCACTGCCAATCAGTTAAACTTTTAAAACACATTAAAAGCACAATGAATTAAAACAGGGTAAAGCTAGGAAACAAAAATGAAACAAAACAAAGCAATAACTAACGAAAGATACTTTTTTTTCCAGTAGTGTAATGCCCTGACTCTGGAAGCCTCAGCCTCAGTGAGTTAACTTTAACTCTGGTCTTTCAGGACTGCAATGATGAGTCACTTCTTACAACACCTATTGTAATTGATGCCACCGGAGCAGGTTGTGTTCAACAGATCAGATCAACGAGTATTAAAACATAACTTTCTGACCAATCAACTGGAAGGATGGAAAATGGCTGTTTTTTTTTATTTTTGTGAGTAGCATAAAGGAACTACATCTGTAATTTCATCATACAATCTTGAGATAATCAAGCTGAATCCTGAATCACTTAAACACAATTGTTGATATGCCAGTTATATAACGATGGAGCAGTGATATTCCTAACAACTTATATATTCACATAGTCAGCAGTTGTTTTTTTTGCCAGCCTTCCTTTCTGACTGTGGTGGCAGCAGCTGTTTTAGCCAGTATTGTATTTTCTCCTCCTTATTTCAGCTTAGGATTATAGTTTTCAGTGAGAAATATATGACTTTAAACCTGTCCATGTTTGAAATTGGTCATCTGGTGCCAACACTGTCACTTTTCAATGCAAACACACTTACAGCTAGATTCAGAAACCCTAGTTGACTTATTGAGTAGTTAACCAGCTTTGTGTGACTGTGAAGCCAGATAACAAAGAAAACATCCTTGGTATGTTTAATTTATTTTGTAGTACAGGCCGCTGGCAAGTGTGAGTCCACGGGTCATGATTACACAATTTAAAAAAATTAATTAAAGATTTAATTTACAAAAGGTAACAGAGTATGTGCTAAAGTACAAAAGTACTGCATTTGGAAAATAAATAAATTCTGAGATGAAGAGCATTGCAAGAAAAAAATCACTAATAATAATAATTTTCTAATAATGTGTCACTTTTACCACTGCTTACAATTTCAACATTTCTTCAAACAGAAAATTAACTTGACAGGCTGTAAAAAAAAAAAACACACACACACACACACACACACACACACACAAAGAGACAAGATCATACAACAAATATAATCATTAAGAAACAATACAGACACATCCTCTCAGGGATCCACCCTATTTCACACACAAACATACACCAGTTCATTCAGAGCTGTACTTACTGAAGTTATTTCAAAACAGGAGGTTATTTTTTTTAGGTTAAATAAGTACAAATTAGCTGATCATGAGCATGAATGTTGCATTCGGAATGTATTTCATGTATTTCAGGTGGCAGTTTGTTATAGATCAAACCAATGTAAAACAGTTCTTAGAGGTGTTGATTTCATGTTTATGGGTGTAGTTTGTGGTTTTGTTGGACTGCACTGCATTACACAAACAGCTGATTGTGTTTTTCACATTATCCTCTTAGACATAAACAGGATGGACAGTGGCTGTGACCAGATCACTTATAAAAGGCTTCAGAACCCCTCCGTAGTTAACAGTCAACATTCAATATTGACCAAAGAGCCACTATCGTTGGATATCCATTTTATTTCAGCACTATTGTCAGTGTACACCAAATCAGTCCTGTACTCCATCAGTTCACCGTAGAGACCCACAGACAGAAACCAAAGCCTGCATGTTTGGCTTAAACACTCAAGTTTATTGCATTGATCTTGCATGGGGACACAGTGCTTGTTTACTGGTGCATGGCGCTGCAGTAAGCTGCATCCTGGTTGGTGGTGATCATCTTGTCTACATTGACTCCGATGGAAGACAGGGTGTTGGACAGTTCTCTGATGGTCTCCTGAGGCAGAGTGGGCTGCCTGCTCATGATCCAGGCGAACTCCACATGGAGCACACCGAGGTCAGTGCAGCTGTAGACCAGGGAGTAGCTGTCGTAGTCAGTGGACAGGACCCAGTAAGGAGCAGGGGGAGAGTCTGTCGGTGTGAAAGGACACAAATAGTCAGGTAACAGTTCTAGATTTTTGTACATCTACAGAATGTTTAAAGACCACCTAAGTGTTTGATAGTAATCTGTGTAAAACAAAACAAATAAGTCATGTGTACTCTCAAAGAAGGAGACCAGCAGTTTGGCAGGCTCAGAGGAACTCTTGGACACAGCAGAGCCACTGATGGTGTTAATGGTCCCATCGGCACTAAAAGAGACAAACAGTAAAAAGTGAGAATATTGTAGAGGTGCACAGACATCACCAGTAGAAACGGTAACATCTAGCATCATCAAGTTCAGGTCGAGTAAAAGCTGGCGGCTGCTCTGCCCTTCTCCCAAAGACGTGTGATGGGTCAGTTGGTGATGCTGTAGGTGTCAGTGTGAGCCTCTATGGTTGTCTGTTTGTGTTATCGTTGTCCTGCATGTATTACCTCTTACCCACCGTCAGCTGGGAAAGGACCCAGCTCCTGTGACCCTCTGTAGGCAGGTAAAACTAACTGATGACATGTAGCTGTATTACTCACAGCAGCTCCCTGTTGAGGACACCGACGACTCCAGGGCTCTTCAGGCTGTAGGTGGCTGTGCTGCACTCACCCTTCTGGAAAGTGTGGGGCAGTTTCTCGATTTCATACCATGTACCAAGATACTGCAGAGGAAGCACGAGAAGTTAAAAGAAAATTAAAAGTTTTGTTTGGGCAAATGGTCAGTATGGAAGATGTAGTTTATTTTAAACAATCTAAATTAAAGTGGAGCCTCGATTTTTCCACTTTGGTATTCACCTTAGCAGCATCAAAGTTCTTCTGAACAGCAGGCTTGGGGCATCTTCCTGGCACAATGACCTGAGCGTTCACTGCCAGAACTGACAGCAGAGTGAGGGAAAACACCTGGAGGGCATTCATTTTTCTCCACAACCTGTAGAAAATATAAGCACGTTTTGAAGTTTATTTTTTGTTTGTTTGTTTGTTTTAAATAGCGAAAACATAAGGCGATGTTAACTTAGTTTTCAAAAAGAGATGCCAGTAAGAAAAAAAAAAAACGGTGTAAATCACGGTTTTTGCTTGCTTACCTGTTTCACTGGGCACCAGTGAAGTGCAGAGTTTTGATGGCGTATTTATAGGCCTGTCAGTGATGACGGTGTGCAGCCCCTCCTTCCTATAGACATGTGAAGTTATTTTGAGAAAGCTGTGTGAGATATTTGGCACCTGTTCAACATTTAAGTGTTGAGCAAATATTTTGAGAAGTAGGCCGAATAGTTACATATGATCATATTTTCTCGTTATCTCATGACACTGACCACGTGGCTCTCTGGGTGATTTTTCATAGTATTTCCTCTGTGTGTGCCTGTATATCTGTACATCCATCTGTTTCTTTTGTTATGTTTTATTCACTGTAGTAATAAACACAAAAAATATACAAAAAAAAGCATAGATCGCCCTGATAAAAGGGTTTGAAATATATTTCTCTTTTTAAATATTTGGTCACAATTTGAAGAGTGATTTTTAAATTGTGATTTTTTTTTAATGTCCTGTAAAGGACCTGTTTCAACAATAATTTAAGTGTCAGATATGTAGTTTATATGAACACAGATATATTAAGTATACATAAATTACACATATATTTATTGTTTTATTGATTGATTGATTGCTTGATTGATTGATGTATTTATATTTAATACATTCACATTCTTATATTCTCTCAATACCAGTAATATCTTTAAAATTCAGTTTCTTTTTAACAAATTCATTCTTTAGTTGAAAAATTAAACAAAATAGCCATTTCACAATGCAAAAAAAACCCTTCATAGTACAAGTAGATCTTAAACATTATATTAGTGTTACCATCTACAAAAGATACAGTGTTTCGGTATTTAATTTAACCACACACTGTATCATTGATACGTACAGTATCAGGAATTTGCAGCAAATCCTATTGCTTTACTGTGATTATTTTGATTGTCGATAGTGGTATTGTGAGCAGTATCGTTCTTGTACAGATATGTAAAGGCCACATTGAGGCATCACTGCAATGAAGTACAGCATCCGAAGATACAGCATCTATATGTAGCCCACCTTAGTTTTGTTAACAACAAACCTCTAAAGGAAGGTTTAAGGACAAAAGGACTCCTGCCTGGACATCATCAATCACTGGACTCTTTTATATTTAATAGCTTCTCTGTATGATATTGTACCAATCACCCTGCTAATCATTTCACTTTTCATTCCATCTCTTTTTTTTATTCTTCTCTTTATAGCATGTTGTAAAACATTTTGCTGCAGGGACTCTCTTTGACTCCGAGCAGAGGCAGACAAAGTCACAGGGCAAGCTATTCTTCTTTTATTGATGGCAGACATGTGAGGAGAGCTACTTCAGCAGATTGAAAAGATTATCTACCTCGAATCACTATATCTTAAGTATACCACTAAAATGAGCTTGACAAGAGAAAAATAATATCAAACTGGAATTGCTTTTATGACCCTCTGCCTTCAGTAAGATGCACGAGTGTTTTCTTTTTTTCACATTCAGCGTTTGGGATAAAACCTGGTATAGCAGCAGATCTTCATGTTACACACACGAAATGTTATTTCAGGGATTCTTGATCCTGAAGAATCCTACAATCCAGGATCTCACAGTAATCAAGACCTAAACAAGATTTCCACCAGGCGTAAAAGACGTAATGCTTCCAGCTTAGAAGGATTACAGCTTCGGTACATCCGTCATCTGATGGAGAACAATTCAGGAAATGCAGGTGATCCGGACTCCAGATTGTTGCTGTAGTCAGAAGATGGATGGTGTCCGTGTCTCCACTGACCTAGTGAATTTATAGCCAAGTCTGCATCTCCAGGTTAAACCTGTTCTCATCCCTTCGCCTCACTGTGACTCCATAATGCTGGGTGCAAACAACACAGGCAGAAATCCCTTATAAAAAGCTTACACCTTGGAGACTCTTAAATTAGCGGTTTAGATGTCCTAATGCTCTGTTCTCTTAATTCCTAAGTCCTTTATTAGTGGTTTCCTCTTTTTCGCAGTAAAAAACCTAACTGTCCCCTGAATAGCCACATATACTCTCAGGAAACTCCAGGCTGTAGTTAGTGAATCAATCAAACCTTATCTGTAGAGCACCTTTTAATACTGTTTAATGCAGCTCAAAGTGCTTCACAGATGTTTGTGAAAGAAAAGTGTCGACCACAATAGCATAAATTAAATTAGATTAAAAACAAAAAAAACTTGAAATAAAACTGATACATACATACCAATTTACCACAACTACTACTACTATTCTGATGCCAGTTAATATTTCTATCAATATTGCAGATACTTTTACTTTTGTTTACTGCTGTACCTGCTGCAGTATCATTAATGGTGCTGCAGTAATACCACTACAATTACCGTTACTGCTTCTCCCACCACACAGTTTGCACCAGACAACAAGCTGATATATGATTATTAGTTGATATGTTGATTGCTAAGCACCAAGAAATTGTAGTCGGGATGCAGAAGATAAATGTATGCATACTTAATACATGTTGTTGTCACAGCTCCTAAACAACTAAACCTTTGAAAAAATGTTGGTTTTCGGTGCATAAAAATTGCCTTGTCCATCATTAGAAAAACTCTCAACAATTAGAATATTGTTTTACTGAGTGCATGTTTGTGTTTCTTTGTGAAACAGTTTTTCATTTTAAATTAATACCTACAACAGTCTTTACATTAATAGTGTTTTTGTTTATATGCACAAATGAATGTTAAATAATGCTTATTATTTACAAGGGCAGAGGGAAGCAAACAGGCTTACTGATTAACCCCTATTCATTTTTTTTTAGAATAAATGTATAGTAGTAAGGATATACAGTTGTATAAACCATGTATACCATGGCAGTCTTGAATTTCCAAGAATTCCTCTATGATGGAATCACTGAAACACATTTGTCTCGTCACAAAAAAACAATCAGGCATTTTGGTTCTTTCACAGAAGCCATCTGGAAATGTGACAAAATCTGCTGGGTCAAACATACACATACAGCAATGCTCATATTTGGTTAATGTCCCTTTCCCATTTTCATCTCATTTCAGAGGTTTTGGTAACCATTAACAAACTTCTGACAAGCTCCTGGTTAAAAATATTACTTAATAATTTATGTATGTTACTATAATCAGGAAAAGTCCCTTCAAGTACTAAAAACTAGGGAGACGTGAAGCTTGTTTTTAACCGTTTAATATCAGCCTGCAGTCTTTGGTATGGATTAATGTCGCTGTTTATTTTCATGATTAATCCATTTACTGTCCTTTTGGTTGAAATAAATAAATAAATAAATCTAAATTCATTCATCAAGTACAGCCACAAGTGACATTTTTAAATTGCTTATTTATAATAATGAATGATTACAATAAGTGACATGAAAAATATTCTATAATATTTAAAAACTGATTTAACAGACCTAAGTATTTTCCATCATTGCCAAACCTTCAAAAAGAAATACAAAAATTGAAAACTGACCTCTGCCTGTGAGATGTTTGATGAAATAAAGATAGAGCTCAGTGTCAACAGCACAATAGTGGAGTAATGTGTAATATGATGTTCTGGAATGATGCAGTGAGACACAAGAGGCCTCATAGTACCAAAAGTATTTGAATGTTACAGTGTGTCTGAGCATACTTGCTAACCAGGGTGCACGTTTTCATGTAAGAAGGATATTTGGTATCTGAATATAATTTTATGAAACATGACTCTGGTTTTCTCTGCAGTCTCCAGAAGCAAACCATCAGCAGCACTCCGTCCTGTTTGACCCGAGACAGGCAGTTCAATAAATGATTGATGACAACAGAGTGATGAAATATGCAGTTACAGCATGATAGGTCAGGTCAGGATCAACGTAAATAGTTGATACTGACAGAAAGCTAGAGGTAAAAATGTGAAATTCTACCAAGTATCAAATACAGGTTTTTGTAGATTGTAGTTGTGCACTGCATTCAAACAAGACAACAGGAGAGCCTACAGTCATGTTCACAAAGCAAGTAAAGCTAATAAGTGGATTCTTAGTATGTGTCTTTGACAAATGTTGGTGTGGTGGCTCTGAGGAAAGGGATGGGCAGAATGTTTACAGTTCATATTGACTTTAACACGTCTGAACTCAATTTAAGGGCAATCAATAGAAGTTGAGCTGATAAGATATTTCTGTGTAGAGTCTGACTTCTGCACCCAGACACCACCACGCAAAATAAAAACAAATAAAACTGTAGAATATGTCGTACAGTAAGACAGTTCAGCCTGCATGTTTACTTTGGACTAACAGTAAATATGTTTTAGATAGAAAAAAGCTTGCAATCCGATAATAAACAGATTTTATTATGCAGTAGATTCACAGCTGATGAAACGTCCCAGCACTGACATTACTGACATTTTGTCATCTGTGTGTTTTCCTGGGAATCTGACAAATTTACCAACTTGATGTTAGTTTATTTTGTACAATTTAATATTAAGACACACAATTAGCAACTCTTTGGATGATACCAGCATTGCAGAATAATAGACATATCTACAAACACCTGAAATGCTCAGCATTTCTTTGTTTTAATGAAATGATTAATAAAAATTAGTCATAACACTGAGAGTTGTACTGGGAGGACATGGATTCATGTTTTAAAACTCTGGCTACAACCCAGCTTGTTAACTCTCCAGGGGCTCTTTGTTTTCCTGCATGGCAACAGAAGCACTACATTGTCCGCCTCCACAGTATGTCTGCTGTTTAGCCAAATTTCCTACCAGCCCACCGTCTGTGCACACCTCTCTGCCCACCAGGCATTACAGAAAACATCATTCAAAGAAGTGCAGGCCCATGCTGTAAGCGGTTGGTGAGCACAAACTGTCAGATTAAGAAGTCTGAGAGGATGATCCGGCCAG